AGGGGCGAGGCCCGGCTGCAGGGGCCGCTTGGCCCAGAGGGAACCCGCGCCCGGCTCAGCCCTGCAGCCCCGCGCCCTGAGCATCTCCCGGAGGACCCGAGACAAAGGAGGATTCATGTCCAAAGGTAGGGCTGTCGTTTGGGTGCCTGGCACCGGCCGGGAGGAGGCTACGGCCCCAAGCGCTACCAAAGGGAGGGTTGCTGTGCTGAGGACCCCACGTGCATATGCATGGACACACGCATACCAGGTGGCACCCATTTGGAGGCACGGTCTCTGGAAAAGGCACACACAGAAGCTTGGGGAGATATGGAGACCCAGAAGCTTAGGGAAAGCCCCTGCTGGAGCACCCCAGGACACTCACACACATGCATAGCATGTTCTCAAACCATGGGTACCAGACCACCTACAACCAGTAAGAGACCTGTGCGCTGACACATCCGTCAGTCCCCTTCCCCCACATAGAGACCAAGTGCAGAGACAGGCACCAGCTGGTGGTCGCCACGGGACCTCATTGGCTTCCTGACCAGAACGCGGCGGGCGCGGGGCGGCCGGAATGTCCCTTTTTTAATGGGGAAGAACTTGTTTCTTTTTTTCTTCTCTCTCTCCTCTTTGAGCTGCCCAGGGCTGGAGCTGGGATGGCCTGGAATTGGCTCTGCCGTGGGGGTGGGGTTATAAAAACTGCAGGTTACCAAGGAGCTGGAGAAGACCCCCCTCAGCTTGGGAGGGAAAAGATAGTCTAGCATTAAGCTAAGGAGGTAGGCATTCTAGAAAGGTTCCCTTCTCCTATTGCCACCTTTTCGACAGAGGGGTGGGGTCTCTGGACCAGACAAAGACAAAGCCATTAATTTTCCTGTAGGAGAAAGCCCTACATCCTTGCTTGCCTTAGGGATGGAGTGTGCTGTCCTGTGGGGCCAGAGCTGAGTCAGGTGGACTCTCTTCCTAGAGCACTAATGTGGCAGGTGGTACCTAGCAGGGGGTGCTGCAGACAGATGCACCCCTCTCTGGAAGAGCTGGGAGCTTAGGAGGAGCCCTCCAGGGCCATCTAGCTACATTCTGCCATGAACGCTGTTATGAACTCTTTCCCTACTCTTGGAAAGCCCCCCTCCAATCTCAGATGCAGACGATGGAGGAGGTCTCTATAGGAATACCTACTTTGACCATGGCTCACACAGCAGCTATTTTTTGGTTGGGGGTGGGGTCCTGGTGCTCTGGATGGGAAGCAGCATCCAAGGAAGGAGAAAGGTGTCTGCAGGTACTCCTGCCTTGTGGGGCTCACACACCATCCGTTCATTCATTGTTGAGTGTCTGTGATATGCTAGGGTGCACTGGGCACAGGGAACAATAAGGCATGGCTCCTACCTCAAAGAGGGCTGGAAACCAGTGTGCATTTGGTAACAGATCATTTAATTCATGATTTTGTATGGCTTTCACAATAACCCAGGAAGGCAGGTACATTCCCCTCTCTTTTGAGAAGAAAACCTAGACTTATAGGGTTCATGCCTCTATCAGCTGCCCATCCAAAGACGGCCTGGTGGGGCCTGGGGAGTGGGAGGAGCCCAGAATGGAGCCACAGAGGCCAACTCCAGAGCAGCATTTGCTTTGTACCCTGGAAGTCCTGGTGGACTTGTTAGGCGCTTTCACAGATGATGGATCCCCCGGGGGCAATGACCTTGCCTTGGATACAAATGTATCCTTGGAATTTAATGTAGCACTTGGTTTTAGGCCGGCTTTCATTTGACAGCATGTGGAATGACCTGGAATGAACTGATACGCTAAGTACTCTAGAACCTACAGGGGATGAGGCAGCACAGCAAGGGGAACATCCATATCAAATGGGAAGACTTTCAGTAAGGGGAAGTTACCAGACTGGGGTTCCAGCAAAGCTTGTGACACAGTGACCAACATCACATCTGTGGTACTTGTGGTACTTGATCAGAGGCTGCTGTTAGCCTGTGACTGGAATGACTGGCATGTAATTAGAATATGGTTGGGAGGAGACTGACTTGCTGGTAGGTTCTCTGCACCTTGCTCACCATGGATGCTAACACTGTTCCTTGGAAGATGGAAAGTCCACTTATGTCCCGGACTTCCCTCAGGCCAGCCGTAGAGTCTAGGAGTTGTTTGGGCATCTGGTCAGCCCCCTCCTTCAACCAGGGTCTGAGAGACAGAGCTGAGTAGGCCATGGTGAGGACACATGCTTTCTACATATTTACAACCTCCACATATACAAGTACCCTGGCCTGCCTCCCAGGTGGCTTATGTCACAACACAGACTGGAGGTACCAAATGTGCCTAGCAGGCATGTGGGAAACCAAAAGGGCCAGGCTGTGAAAACAGCAGGAAGGAGAAACCTGGCACTGGCTCCCAGGGCAGATGTGCTAAAGGGGGACACAAGCAGGGTGTGGAGTGGAGGAGCGGACCCAGGCTGTGCAGAGTCAGCGGTCATAGGGCCAAGCCAATCCTGCTGCCCTCTGGAGCCACCTGGCTGGCAACAGCTTCCTGGGAAGCAAAGGGAGCAGAGCCAGGCTCTGAGGAGGTGTTGAGGCTTTGTCAGATTTAGCTGTGTCTAAGGGGGGACACGGGAAAGAAGGTTCCCATCTTGCCAGTATCAGGGGAAGGACCAGGTGGCGGGGGTACAAGTGCAGATTCCTGGCTGAGCTTGGGAATGGGGAGGGAGACTGTGTTCCCGCTTCCTCCTGCCCATCTGCTGCCCCGTCAACCCTCCTCACAAGGCTGAGAGTTATGAACAGTGGGGTTCTAAAATGGCACAGCTTCTCCAGAGCATGGCGGCAAAGATATGCTTGTGAAATCAGCAACCAGGGCACCTCCGCTTCACAAATGCTTTCATGCGCTCAGTTTCAATCCCGCTCCCGAAAGCTGAACTTGAAAAGGGCAGGGGGTAGCTGGGCAGTGGTGGCACATGCCTTTAATCCCAGCATTTGGGAGGCAGAGGCAGGCGGATATCTGTGAGTTTAGGGGCAGTCTGGTCTAGAGCTGGGGCTACACAATGAAACCCATCTCAGGACAGGACAAAACAAAACAAAACAAAAAGGCAAGGGCAAGAGGGCATGGGTCTGTGAGGCTGGACTCTGGGCTTGTAAGCATCATGTCTCATGTGATGCTCACCGCAGCCTTAGTCATGACCCCGCTATTCTGCAGAGGAAGAAGCAGACTCATAGAAGGGAAGTGGCCCACATAAGTCTACAAGCTGACAAATAGCAGAGCCACGATCTTTCCCACTTTACCCCACACCCATTTTCCAGAGAGGGAAATGGAGTTGATCTCTTCTAGGACTTACCCTGTTGGACAGTGACCCACCACATCTCACCTGTGTGTGAGCATGCCAAGGGGACCTTTTGTCCTTCTCTGGGGAGAGCTATTTCCTCAGCCTCCCCTTTTGCTGCTTACCAGTATGAAAGTATCATCTTAGGCAAGTACTGTCCTTGTTTGGGTTTCATTCCTTCTTTGCTGGCTCTGCAGGCTCAAAACTTTGCATGGGAGGTGTTGGGAGACCCTCTGCTGTTGGGAGACCCATGAGCTTTTGAGACTCATGGCTCAGAGGGGAGACTGAGGCTGAGGCTGAGGGTGCAAAGAAGGGTAGCTCTGATTGCTTCTAAAAGACCAAGAAACTGAAGCCATTGACAGTTGACATACAGTAGACCTGGGATCCTAAAGGTTCTTTGTTCCTTGCTTGGCAAGGCAAGATGCAGGTCCGAATAACTGAGACATTTCGTAGATCAGAGCTCTTTTCAGGGTGGCGGCGTTGCCCCCTAGGAAACATTTGATATTCTGTCGAGATGCTTTTGGTGGTCACATCTGTGAGACCCCTTCTGGAAACTAGCAGAGACTATGGATGCTATTAATCATCCTGCAGATGCAAGAAAGCCCTGCTACAGTAACTACCCAGGTATCAGTAGAGCGAAGGTGAAGGAGCCCTTGGATTGCATACACAAAAGTGCAGTACTTTGAGGCAGTGATGTGTCTGAACGTGTCCAGCAACCGGAGAACCTGACTGGGGCTAGAAAGATACCTCAGTGGTTACGGCTTACTGCTCTTGTAGAGACCTGGGTTTGATTCCCAGCACCTGCGTGGCAGCTCACAACAGTTTGTAGATCCAGATCCAGGTTGACCCAGTGTCCTCTCCTGGCTTCTGTGGGCACTGAATACACGTGGTGCACATACTACATTCAGGCAAGCACTTATACACATAAGATGAAAAATGTATAAATCTTTACATAATAAACAAACTGGAGAACCTGGTACTGGTACCGATTTTGCAACTGACCTAAATGGTGTTCTTGGGCAAGTCCCTGTCCCCCTGCCACCCCTTCCTCCTGGGAATCAGTGTTTTCTTCATATACACAGTATGGGGCCCAGCCTGGATGAAATTATGGTCTCTTCCAGTCCCAACTCTGTGACCCCGTATCAAAATACTCTTGTGCCTTCCATGAAACCCTTGTTCTCTTGCCGCTCACCCTGCCTATTCCTCCCACCTCGGCTTTTCAGGGCTCCCAGAGGCCAGGACGGACACAGCTATGTCAGAGCTGGTACCTGAGCCCAGGCCTAAGCCGGCGGTGCCCATGAAGCCGGTCAGCATCAACTCCAACCTACTAGGCTACATCGGCATCGACACCATCATCGAACAGATGCGCAAGAAAACCATGAAGACTGGTTTTGACTTCAACATCATGGTCGTTGGTATGGAAAGCCATGGGGTCACTGGAGGCCTAGTGGTGGGCAGCGCCAAAGGATCCCATTTCTTTCCCCAGAATGGCCTGGCTTCTCTAGGGTGAGCTCTTTCTAGGAGGGAGGATTTTATCATGCCGATTACAAAGGTCTGGTCTCTTCCTCCTAACCGGCTGATTGGAGGATGGGAGATTGGGGTGGATGGCCAGCCCGGCTTTCCCACTAGCTGGACAGAGACGGGCAGCCTCTTCATCGCCCTGGGCTGGCTTTTAGGTTTGTGGAATGGGCGTCGTCAGCCCTTTCCCATCTCCGAGAGCTGTGAGAGAAATGGGTGAAAGATGGTCTCATTGTTCACACCTTAAAGCTTCAAAGTTTTCCAGGGTCTTAGTCACTGAATAGTGTCAGTGAGTCACAGTATGTGGCGGGAAGGGACATTTGCTTTATCCGAGTCATTCACTGGATGTAGAAATGGAGTGAGGCAGCCTCCTCCCTCCCTCCCTCTTCTCCTATACAGTCAACAAGCCCTGTCCCTTTAACCATGTAAAGATCTCCGGGGCCTGTCAGCTTCTGCCCATCCGCCACCGATACCCTAGGCCAGCTCACCTGGGTGGTTGCAGCTACCTGACTCTACAGATCTCCAGAAGAAGAACCTTGGCCAGGGTAGATCATTCAGGTATTTTGCTACAAATCCACCAGCTTTGCTGACATGGACGTTGGCTGTCTGGCACCAAAGACTTTGCTTAAGAACCACAAGTAGCCAAGCCATGCGGCGGTGCGTACCTTTAATCCCAGAACTTGGGAGGCAGAGGCAGGCGGATCTCAGTGAGTTTGAAGCTAGCCTGCTTAGAGTGAGTTCTAGGACAGCCAGGACTGTTGCACAGAGAAACCCTGTCTCGAAAAACCAAAAACCAAACCCAAAACAACAACAATAACAAAATCAAAGTAAAACAAAACACAAAGCAGTAGGTGGTAGATGATTCGTGGCCCGTTACAGCTGTCCCAGTTGGGGTGACATGGGCTCTCCTGGTTCTCCATCTCCTCTCCTCTCCAATTCATTGTCCACTAGCTACCCAGCAGCTTTCCCCAACATGCAGAACTCACTGAACCATCCATCCTAATTCCCTAACTCTTTTAACCTCGGGATAAATTTAGACTTCTATCCTGGCTGGGAACTGCTCCAGCTCAGCTTTTACCAATTCCCATCTACATTCTACTCCTGCACACAGGGAGGCTCTTGACTTGCGTGCTCTTTCCTGTAGAGCCCTTTTAACATAACGATCTAAGCGGCTCCTGCCAGCTCCTCAGGTAGGATGAGAAATGCTTCTAGTCACCGTTCCTGGCCTCTGCCAGTTCCCTCCTTCCTTACCCATCTGTGAAGAGACAGGATAACACGGCAAGCCGAAAGCAGTGAAAACACCACATATACATACACGCAACATAGTACATCACATATACACAGATACACATATAACATGCACCACACACACACACACACATACAACATGGGCATTTAACACATATACATACACATATAGAATAAATAAATGTAAAGAAAGCAGGCTGGAGAGATGGCTCAGGGGTTAAGAGCACTGGCTGCTCTTCCAGAGAACCTGGGTTCAATTCCCAGCACCCACATGGCAGCTAAGAACTGTCTGTAAATCCAGTTCCAGGGCTTCTGACACACACTGATACACATACAGAAAAAAACACCAATAAACATAAATTAAAAAAAAACTTTATAGAAAAAAGCAGGGTTCTTGGGGTGTGAGCCCTGAAAGATCAGACCATTTAGTAGCTATGTTGCCTCACACGTTACATCTCAGCTAGGGAGGAAGACAGCTCTGCTACGAGATGCACAGGGATGAGTTAAAGAGTGATTAGAGAGGGCGAGGATTTAGTTCTGTGCTAAAGCATCTGACGGTGGAGCACAGTGCCTTGGTTTTCAGTCCCCGGCACCAGGGGTTACAAAGACCAATATTATTAACAGACATGGACATGCTCAAGCTCTGTGAGGCGGATCTGAATGCAAAGTAATTCTGTTCTCACTTTTAGTGTCATTAAAGATGGGAAAGCTAAGTTGAACAAAACCACAAACCAAACCAAACCAGAAAACTGTATCACACACATACCACACAGATGCACAAGCTGTACCTTCTCCCAGTGGTCCTGGGGCCCATGAAGGAACTTGGAATCCAGCTGCCATTTCTCCAGGCCCCTCTCCATTGAACGGACAGCCATTCCTACCTAATGCTCATCCCCAAGGGACATTCAAATAGGGCTTGGCTTGGACCACAGCTCTGGAGCCCTGTAAGCTCACAGGAGGGTTCTGCAGCTCAGGAGGTAGATGTGCGGCCTGTCTCCCTTTCTCCGTCTCCTTCTCCCTTGCTGCAGGCCAGAGTGGACTGGGCAAGTCAACGCTGGTCAACACGCTCTTCAAGTCCCAAGTGAGCCGAAAGGCCTCCAGCTGGAACCGGGAGGAGAAGATCCCTAAGACAGTAGAGATCAAAGCGATTGGGCATGGTGAGAACTGGTCCAGGATACCCTCTGTGGGCATGATTCTGAGGGGGCCAGTGCCAAGCAAGAGAAAGAGGGCTTATTGGGGAAGAAGATATAAAAGGTAACCACAGAGTGGAATTAAACTCCAAATTTGTTGGTGCAGACTCCTTAGGCTGCTGGGGCTAGACAGTGAGGTGGGAATGGGGGGAGTGTGTGCGTGTAGAACTGGAAGAGGTGGGTCTTGAACTAGGTGATAGCTCGGGGAGGATTTAGATGTAGACACAGAAGAAGCAGAGAACGGTCTTCTAGGTATAGGGAGAAGCATGCGTAGAAGTACAGAGTAGGTGAAGTCTGTAACCTTGACTTGGCTAATATATTAGCTGCTGCTCAGAAGTATGGGTGTTCCTGGCCAGCAGACTGTAGGGCTCCTGGGGTCCACTATAGGTTTGACATATTGGATGCTCTTTTTATTCTCTCCAGTGATAGAGGAAGGTGGTGTCAAAATGAAGCTGACAGTCATTGACACGCCCGGCTTCGGGGACCAGATCAACAATGAAAACTGGTATGTGTCTGCCTCTGCGATTTCTTCCCTAAATACTCTTCCAGGAGAACACAATGCAGATCCATTCCCATTGAGGCCTACCTGCATCCTCCTGGGAAAGAGGCTGGGTCTCCCGGGAGAATGCTACCCTTGCTAACCATCCATGGAAAGCCACCCATGGGGAGGCTGAGGGAGAACTGGCGGAACTGGCCGTTGAGTGGAGGAGGGAGGATAGAATGTGAGATGGTTGTGAGGGGATTGGGACCTCTGGGTGGATGCTGTCTGTGTTTCCCCCACCCCTCAGCTGGGAGCCCATTGAGAAATACATCAATGAACAGTATGAGAAGTTCCTGAAGGAAGAGGTGAACATCGCCAGGAAGAAACGCATCCCCGACACTCGTGTCCACTGCTGCCTTTACTTCATCTCCCCCACAGGACACTCGTATGTACCAGACCCACCCCTACTGCTGGCCTGGGTCCAGTGTGTGTCGTTTGTGCCCAAGGACTGGAGAACCCATACTTGGCTAGATGGCTGGAAGGTCATGGCCCTGTGACCTTAGGGTTCCCCAGACTTTCCACAAGAAAGAGATTAAAGCTGAGCATCACTGTCTCCCCACCCCAATACTGGTCACTGGTATCCCAGCACAACCCAGCTTTACCAGCAGAGAGAACTTGAGCAGAGGGCACCTCATTTGTTCAATAGATACTTGCTTTGGCCAAGACTTGGGGCATGGGGGTGGCAAGAAAGGTAAAGTAGGGAAAATCAGGGCTACTGGACTGGGTCTGGTGTTTAGGCAAAATGTGGAACTTAGCTGTAGGTATCTAGACAGTGGCCATTTCCGCAGGATGAGCCAGGCATCCAGAGATGAAGGCTGTGCCGGGAACTTAGTTTGTAAGTGGTGGACGGGCCCCACGATAAGCGACGTGGGAGCTTATCAGAAGTCAGGCATCTCGGTGGTGTTTCTAGCCGCCTTCCTACAGGACAGTGTGTCTCCCTAAGCCCCTCTGCAGGATCAGAACGAAAGTCTTTGAGAGGATGACACAGCTGGGTAGATCCTGAATTTTGAAGGAGCCAGGGGTACCGAGCCGATGTTGAGTTGTGAAATAATAACCCTGGGTCAGACCTTGATCTCAATAAAATGAGGGCTTTTTTGTTGTTGGTGGTTTTGTTTTGTTTTTAAGAATGAGTGCAGGGAATTAAACATGCTAGGTAAACACACTACCATTGAACTATACTCCAGCCCTCTTTTTTATATAACTTTTTAAAAATATTTATTTATTTATTTACTCTACTTATTTATTGAGGCAGGGTTTCTCTGTGTAGCCCTGGCTATCTTAGAACTAGCTCTGCAGACCAAGCTGGCCTTGAACTCAGACATCTGACTGCCTCTGCCTCCCAAGTGCTGGCATGTATCACCATGCCCAGCCCTCTTTTTATTTTTTAAGACAGAGTCTCACTTAGTTGTCCAAATTTGCCTTAAACTTACTCTGTAGCCCAGGCTGGCCTTGAATTTGAGATTTTTCCTGCCTCAGCTAAAACGGTAGCTTTAGCTTTTCCTAGACCTTGATCCACAGTTAGTAGGACCTATAAGACAATCTGACTTAATGGATTCCCCAGACTGCAGACTAGGGTCAGACTTGGGGCTCCAGAGTGTGGCTCTGCGGGATGGAAGGTGGGGGCTGAAATGAGCCCATTAACAAGATTTCAGTTGGTAAGGGCCATCCATATATGTCCCCCAAAGAAAGAAATTCTTAGGTCGGAAAAGGTGTCATAGAATGACTGGGAGGGGGGTTAAGGAGAGACATGCTTTACATAGAAACTGAGAGGGGGAGCTGATTGTGATGGGCTGAGGATGGAGTTGTAGACATGCGCAGGCGCCGAAGCGGTGGACATGTGCAAGAGGAGAGGCTGCAATTGCATGGCCTCAGCTAGGTTCCCAGACCAGCCCTCTCCCAAGGATGGTGTGGAGAGAGCAGGGGCTGAGTCGGGAAGGGTTGGTGGCGCTGACATTCCTGTCTTCTCTGGGCCCCAGCTTACGACCGCTTGATCTTGAGTTCATGAAACACCTCAGCAAAGTGGTGAACATCATCCCGGTCATTGCCAAGGCTGACACCATGACCCTGGAGGAGAAGTCTGAATTCAAGCAGAGGGTGAGCAGCTGCTTTGCCCTTTTCCTGTCTAGGGGTTCCTTCCCCTCCTCTGGGTCTGAGCCGTTTCCTTCCTGCCATGGCTCCCACTGCTACTCTATTCCAGTTTCCCGCCCTAACTCCCTCCCACTTAACTAGCCCGGAGGCAGGGGCTAGAAGTTCCTGAACCAAAGGCACGTCCATGCAGTTCCAGGCTTCCTCGTCCTCACAAAGGCTCCTAGATACACTCATCACGGAGAACCCGAGATCTCACTGCTCCGGTGTTAGGTTCCTTGAAAGAATACACTAACCAGTAACCAACAGTAGTATGCTAGTACTCATGGAATGAAAAGAACAAGAAACCAACAAAATCACTGAAGAAGTCCTGGAGGAAGAGACTTACACTGGTCTTGAAAGAGGGCTAACAGAGAGCCTGGGAGGTGGACTTTGCCTCCCTTGCAAAGGAGAGCAGAGCATGAAGGACAAGGTCATGAGCATGGCCTGTGGCATCTGGACACAGCTGTGCTGTCTGTCTGAAACCCCAGGGGCTTGAACCTGCATGCCCTCCTCCTCTTTCCTCTCAGACTGGGCTGTGTTTTTTCTTGGGATCTTCCTGTGGCCTAGGGCCTGGGGAATCATCAATGCTGTACTGCCTTGCTCCTCTAGGTTCGCAAAGAACTTGAAGTAAACGGCATTGAGTTCTACCCTCAGAAAGAGTTTGATGAGGACTTGGAGGACAAGACAGAGAATGACAAAATCAGGGTAGGTGTGTGGGGCCCTCTGCGTCACACGGATTCCCGGCCCAGTGCCTCTGGGATGTGCCTTCAGGCCCTTCTCCTGGCTTCCCTACCGTATCTCCATGTCACGTCATCTAACCCAGACCTCAGGAAGTGGGGAAGACGGTGACCCTCACTAGGACAGTGAACCCACAAGCAGGGCTTCCTGTACAGTCTTGTCCACCACCAGATGATCCGAAAGTGTCCCTTTCCTTCCCAGGACCTGGCAAAACCTCTGTGTCAGGTGATGGGGCACCAGGCGGGGAAAGCATTAGGCTAGTATCAAGGGGAATCTATGCTCTAGGCTAAGCTTACCTCATTTCTCACTCTGTGAAATACAGAGGGTAGACTAGGTGAGTGGCTCATAAGCTTTCTCTCTCCCCAGAAGAACTGCATAAAAATCAACTGAAGGTCCATGAGATTGTTCAGCACGTAAAGGTGCTTACTGCTAAGCTGACTGCCTGCTGAGTTGGATCCCCAGGATCCATGTGGCGGAAGGAAATAACTGACCCCCAAAAGTTGCTCCCTGATCTCAGTAGACACTCGCATGCACACATGTGCAAATGTACACACACACACACACACACACACACACACACACACACACTATGTAATTAAAAATTTTAAAGAAGAATAATGTGTTAATGTAAGTTTTAAGAGTTAATAAGAAGCCTGAGCTAATGGGCCAATCAGTTTATAACTAAAGTAGAAAAAACATTTTAAACAAAAAACTTTAGAACTCTAACATACAAACCACTAGAACAAAACTGCTTTGGCTGAGTGTTGTGGGCACAGAGCTCTGCTGCCCCAGCGGGTGCTAAGATACCTTCTGTGTCTCTGGTCTCACCAGGAAACTAGGTTTGGAGACCATCGGCTATATGACTTCTTAGGTCTTGCCTTATAATTCTGTGATTCTGCATCACAAACCTAGCCCACCACCAACCCAACCTAATCTGTGACAAATCTCCATTCCCGGCTTAGGTTTTGAGACCCTTCTAGACTCTTCTAGAAAGTTGAACAATCTAGCAGAAGCCCTTTATCCCTCATAGTTGGACAGATACTCAGTTGAAAAAGGCAACTGAATTAAGGTCATTACTAAAAAGGATCTCCCCCCCCTTTTTTTGAGACAGTGTTTCTCTGTGTCACAGCCCTGGCTGCCCTGGAACTCTCTTTGTAGACCAGGTTGACTTCCAAGATCCTCCTGCCTCTGCCTCCCGAGTGCTGGGATTAAAGGCATGTGCCACCATTACCTGGCATTTAAAAACCCAAAAATCTTTTTAGTGACATTAATTTACTCACTGGGGTGGTGAGGGAGTGGGAGTCCCTGCGGCATGTGTGGAGGTCAGAGGATAACTTTCAGCAGCCAATTTTCTCCTTCTCCTGTGGCTCTAACTCAGGTTAGATTTGGTGGCAAGTGTCTTTATCCATTGAGCCACCTCACCAACCTTAGATAATCACCTTAAAAATGACGTCTATACATCTTAAATGTCTTCAAAGAAACAGTCTAGGAAACTAAAATGTTAAAATATGTGTCACATCCATCAGCCTTTATATCCTTGTGTTGCTGGGGATTGTATCATCACACGGCTTTATCACACACACACACACACACACACACACACACGTGCACACACACCACACACTCTGTGCAGGGCTGCAGATCAAACCTAGGACCTTGGGTATGCCAGGTAAGCACTCGATCGCTGACCTGCACTCTCAGCCCAAAGCCCATTCTTGATGCCAAGGCAGTTCACTGATGTTATCTTTCTGCACACTTGGCATAATTTTCTAAAAACAGCTCCACACCTCTGTCTTCAGTTTACATATGGTATTCATGGGCTGCATGAAGGGCTTTTGGTCAGTGAAGGGCTGGGCTGCATGAGACAGGGCTTCCCTACAATCATATCATCTGGTGACGTGGGAACTGTTTTACTGGTTTGTGTACGTCTAGGCTGTGAGTTTGCCTGTGGTACAATCGCCCATGAACTTTTCTCAGAACGTATTCCAGCCATTAAGCAACACATGACTCTTTTTTTTTTCCCCGACAATAACAAACACACACTAGGCAGATACATTTGGGTGCTTGCCCCGATAGAGCAGAGCAGCCTAGAGCCCTGAGAGTTCGGTACCTGGGCATCTGCCAGTAGGTTCCATGGGAGCTACAGAACACATCTTGGAGTCTGGCTGGCGCCTGCGGGGCGGGGGGAGGTGCCGTTTGTAAGAGTCTGTCCTAGCTAGCTCACAGAGTTGCTCCAAATCAAACGAAAATATGTGCTCAAGCACAATGAACCGGACAAAGTGCTCTCTAGTTGAAGGAAAGCCAACTTGCTGAGGCTAACCAGCCAGACGACAGTGTAGTCAGGGTTGGGCTCAGGACCCAAGTCCCAGCTCAGCCTTTTCAAGGGGCAGAGTCTTGCCCTTACCCCCAGGAGCATCATTGAATGAGCAACAGAGTAAGTTGTGAAAGGCTATCCTGCCCTTGGCCATTCGGTTTGCAGAAGAGGACTGAGCATGTGTGTTGCTTTGTGCATCCAGCAGGAGAGCATGCCCTTCGCTGTGGTGGGGAGTGACAAGGAGTACCAAGTGAATGGCAAGAGGGTCCTCGGCAGAAAAACTCCATGGGGGATCATTGAAGGTAATTCAGTCCATCTCCGAGAAGTAGCTATCCAGAGCAGCTATCAATCATCCGGAGGTCAAAGTGCTGCTCTGGGATATTGAGGCCAGCCAGTTGCTGCCGATAAGGAGCTTATTGGCCCGCGGTGACACTATTTAACTTGTGGCCAGGTGGCAATGACTTGGCCTGTCAAATGAATTTAGAACCTGGGGAAACTATCAAGGGTGGAAAAAAAAAACCAGAGAAAGGGTTTCGTATGTGACCTGGCAAAGTGCCCAAGGGTGGTTTAGCTATTGTCTTTGTCCTACCATTTATTATGGATAGATGTGACTTTGAGTGGGATATGATGATTCTGAACGTTTCCAAAAAGTTGCTTCAAGGGTCTCATCCGGGCTGGGGAGTAGCTCAGTGATAGAGCGCTTGCTTCACATCTGCAAGACCCTGTGTTCAATCCCCCACACAGTCCACACAAAACCAAACCAAGAAGGCGAACAACCCTTTATTCAACATGGTAACCCTGTGAGGAGTGCAGGTGCTCCGGTCTTCAGAACATGAATCTTGGACAAGTGTTTTGTTTTGCAAAGGTCACACAGTCCCCACCCACCACCGTCAGCTGCGCTGGAGACTTAATCCAGCGCGCTTTTCACATGCTAGTGAAACTTGAACTTCAAATTTGGATATTTTGTTTCCCAAACTGAGATTTACTTCACTGTCTTGGATTGTTCATTGTCAATAATGTTTGTGGTCCTGGTAGTAGAACTCAGGACCTCGCTGTGTTAAAAACAAGTGCTTTACCACGGAGCTAAATCCTCAACTTGTGGGTTTTGAGATAGGTTTTTACTGTTATATCCATGGCTGGCCCTGAATGCATGATCTTCTTCCCCTTGTCCCAAATGCTGGCATTGCAGTGGTGGGCCACCATGTTCACCACACCCAGTACCGCAGGATTTTGAAAGTAGCATTATCTCATTATTTACCTTGAATTAGAAATATTGATGAGAGGGGGACTGAAGAGACGGCTCAGCGGTTAAGCATACTAACTGTTCTTCCAGAGGACCCAGGCTCAATTCCCAGCACCCACATGGCAACTCAAATTCCAGTGGATCCAACTCCCTCAGACACTAATGCATATAAAAATTAAAAAAATACAAAATGTGGATGAAAATGTTATACACACATTGTGAGATCAGAGTCATGCAGTATCCTCCTCTCTTCCCACCATTCTTGGTGTGTGGTTTGCAGACAGCAGCCATTCCACGTCTGTTAGCTGGGTTTTCTGACCTTGGAGAGCTGGTTCAGTTATAAGTTCCTGTGTGTTTTCCTTTCTTTCAATCATCTTAGGCCTTCACAAGTTCATTGTTTGTTTGTTTGTCTTTGTTTTTTGAGACAGGGTTTCTCTGTGTAACAACCCTAGCTGTCCTGGAACTAACTATTGTAGATCAGGCTGGCCTCGAACTCACAGCCTGCCTTTGCCTCCTGAGTACTGGGACTAACAGTGTACACCACCACAGCTTGGCATCTTGTGCTCTCTTTAAAGTTGCCCACCTTCTGGGCCGTGCACTAGTGAAACGACCACCCGTTTTCTTCTGTTTTATCCATAGTGGAAAACCTCAACCACTGTGAGTTTGCCCTGCTTCGAGACTTCGTCATCAGGTAAGAGTTCTCCCCCTCCCCTTGTGGCAGTTTTAATTATTTGGGATTGAGGGTCATCCATCCAAATTCACTTCCTGAGTTTCCATGTCTCTCTGACAGTTTTCTGGCCCAGTTCTAGCCCCTGTCTCAAAGAAGGAGGGGTTGAAGAGATGTCATTGGTCCTCAGGAGTAGGGCCAAGTCATTGAGTCCGGTCTACCAAAGAGCTGTGTTAGCCTCAGAGGTGGATCACTTCCTCATCTTCCGACCCTTAATTGCACCCCCTTCTCTTTTTCACTGTGCCCTTCAGGACTCACCTCCAGGACCTCAAAGAAGTCACCCACAACATCCACTATGAGACTTACAGGGCCAAGAGGCTCAATGACAATGGAGGCCTCCCTCCGGTGAGCGTGGACACAGAGGAAAGCCACAACAGTAATCCATGATGAGCCCCTTTTCTGTGTTAGCTGCCATACATATCTCACTTCTCCGAACACACACACATCCCAGGCACCACCTCCAGCCACCTTTTCCTGTCAGCTCTGTCCCAAAGGCCTGTCTGGTATTTATGGAGCATTTTGTCGTGTATGTGTGTGTGTGTGTGTGTGTGTGTGTGTGTGTGTGTGTGTG